CCCCAAAACGAGAAACTGTATTTCAAAATAGAAAACATTGCCTATTATAACCATACACTTTAAAAAGTCACGTTTTCACCAAAAATAGCATAGCTTAATGAAATATCAAACATTAAAATCTCTATATCCCAGTGCTATACCTACTTTAACACTATTACAAACGTACATAGTGAAATGGGTAGCTTTAAAGGGTAGCAGAGGAAAAATTCTTTTCCCCTTTACCCTCTTAGGTTCTCTGGCTGGAACCCTATAAATTGGACGAGCAAAGATAGATTAAAAAAACCCAACAAGGGCTCTGCACCCGTAGCACAGTGGTTACGGTGCTGACCACATGAACCAAGATGGGTGGGTTCAAACCCGGCCCGGGCCAGCTAACAACAACAGCTAAGCTTGCAAAAAAACAACTGCAAGAAAAAAATTGCTGGGCATTATGGCGAGCACCTATAGTCCCAGCTACTTGGGAGGCCGAAGCAAGAGAATTGCTTAAGCCCAAGAGTTTGAAGTTACTATGAGCTATGATGCCATAGTGCTCTACAGAGGGTGACACAGGGAGACTCTGTCTCAAGAAAAAAAAAATTGGGCGGCACCTGTGGCTTAGGAGGTAGGGCGCCAGCCCCATATTTTCAACATTAAAATGTTGAAACCTAGCCCTGGGTTGGCAGGTTCAAACCCAGCCCTGGCCAAACTGCAACAAAAAAAATAGCCAGGCATTGTGGTGGACACCTGTAGTCCCAGACACTCAGGAGGCTGAGGCAAGAGAATCACTTAAGTCCAGGAGTTGGAGGTTGCTGTGAGCTGCGTGATGTCATAGCACTCTACTGAGGACGATAAAATGAGACTCTGTCTCTACAAAAAAGAGAGAGAGAGAGAGGCTCAGTGCCTGTAGCACAGTGGTTACAGTGTCAGCCACATACACCGAGGGTGATGGGTTCAAACCCGGCCCGGGCCAGCTAAACAACAATGACAACGGTAACAAAAAAATAGCCCGGCCTTGTGGTGGGTGCCTGTAGTCCCAGCTACCTGGGAGGCTGAGACAAGAGAATCTTTTAAGCCCAAGAGTTTGAGGTTGCTGTGAATTATGACACCATAGCACTCTACTGAGGGTAACATAGTAAGACTCTGTCTCAAAAAAGAAAAAGTTAGCTGGCTTATGTGGTGGGCACCTTGAATCCTAGCTATGTGGGAACCTTTAGGCAGGAGGATTGCTTGAGCCCAGGAATTTGAGGTTTCTGTGAGCTAGGCTGATCCTATAAAACTCTAGCCTGGGCAAAAGAGTGAGACTGTCTCAGAAAAAAACAAACAAACAAAAAAACAGGCAATCCAGAAGCCATTTAATTTGTAAGTAATTGAAAGTGCCAAAACCTAAATATAAATTACCTTTTAAAAAGTTGTTTCAGGGCTCAGCGCCTGTGGCTCAAGTGGC